TCTTTCCCAGCAACAGCAGCAACAGCAGCAGCAGCAGCAGCAGCAGTTTGCTGTTGACGCGTCACAGTTTGTATGGAGAGGAGCCACCGTCCGCAGCACAGAGTGGATATACGGCCTGGTGGTTTACACGGGCCACCAAACCCGCATCATGAAAAACACAAAACAAAGAGAATTAAAATACTCAAGAACTCAGGTCGTATACAACCAGCACGCTGTACTCCTAGCCATCGCCCAGGTCTGCTGCTGCTCCTGCTGCTGCTGCTGCTGCTTTTGTTGGTGTTGTTGCTGCTGCTGCTGCTGGGGCAGCTGCGCCTCCTGCTGCTTCGGCAGAAGACAGCGCGTTGCTGATGCGGCTCCTGCTGCAGCTTTTGTTGAGGGTTCGGTGCTGCTGCTGCTGCTGTGGACGGGGTTTTGCTGTTGCTTCTGCTGCTGTTGCAGCTGCTGCTGTTGCTGCTGCTGCCGCTGCTGTTGCTGGTGCTGTTTTCCCTGGTATTGTTGCCGCTATTCTTCTCTGTGGAGAAGAGATTGTTGCTTTTTGTGTTCTCCTAGCCCTTAGATTTAGGGTTTAGGGTTTAGGGTTTAGGGTTTAGGGTTTAGGGTTTAGGGTTTAGGGTTTGTGTGAGTATTGCTTTAGTTTATAATATGTGCGGTGGCGGCGCTGGTGTACGCCTTCAAGAGCCAGCAGCTGTTTGCTGATGCCTGGTACCTCGAGACCAGCTGGGTCTCCGGCATTTCAAACTTTCTCACCTCCTTAGGCGTCGTAAGACTTCTAGGGTTTAGGGTTTAGGGTTTAGGGTTAGTGTTTAGGGTTTAGGGTTTAGGGTTAGGGTTTAGGGTTTAGGGTTTTTGTTCAAGCTGAGAGCGGCGCTTTTAGCCGTTCAGGTTGAGACCCAGTTGTTGTTTAGGGTTTGAATTTAAGTTAGCAGCGAGTCGAGGGTTTAGGGTTTAGGGTTTAGGGTTTTAGGGTTTAGGGTTTAGGGTTTAGGGTTTGGTTGTGTATGTTTGTTCTAGGCATTTGGGCGTTACGTGTTGCTGCTGAGTTACTTTGTTCCGATAACATTGTTAGTGCAGCTGGAGGTGAGCCGTTGGTGTCAGGCGAGTTTCTTATCAGCAGATAGGCGAA